TGATTTGCATAAGAATATTCTTACATAAAATTTCTCTAAGCGTAATTTAAACAAACAGTTTGCTTACATCAAATGGTCCGTATGCAGCAGCCGACCAGCGATCGAAATATCGGCATCAAGCTCCTTATCCTGATACAGAAGCTCAGCGTCCGCCGGCATAGCGAGCTTCCTCTTCCTCACGGCGGCGACCACCACTTGGGCCAGTCGGGCCACCGGGCTCCCTCCCGGCTTCCTCCTTATATAAAGCGGGTACCCGACGACAAAGACTATCACTGATAAAAACATGGCGATGGTCGGAATCCCGAACCCCAATCCCCACCCGACATTATCTTGTATATAAACCACAACTGTTAGGGCAAGCAATACTGAAATCCCCACGCTGAAGAAGAAGAGGTTGAAGAAGCTCGACCCGCTTTTGGGCCCGTTGGGTTGGGGCCGGTCCAGTTCGAATTGCTCTGCTCCGAAGGCCACGACGCAGGGCCGGAGCCCGCCCGACCCGATCGCCGTGAGGAGGAGGGAGATGTAGAAGAAAGCTTGTTGCCAGGCGGAAGCTTGGTGGCAGGATGGGGATCGGAGAGGGCATGGCGGCGGTCGGAAAACGGGTAAGATGGCTGAGATTGTCACTCCTACCATCCCCTGTAATTTTTTTATTTATTTTCATTAATTATAACATAAAAAAATTAAATTTTTCATACATAATAAATAATTTGATATAATAGAAGAAAATATACTACAACAAACGAAAATTAAAAATCCTTTATATTCCTATAAAATTATTGCAAGCTATAAAATTGTGTGTGATATTATTCATAAAATAGCTAGTATATTTTTAACATTATGAGTGATAAAATATAATAGTTATTGAATTTTTTTTTTATTTTTTGCCTAATTAAATTTTTATTTGAAAAAATTAGCCCTCGAGTGAAATGAAATCATACTTATATTTTAATATTTTAGAAAATAGGCCTATTACTCCTTTGGTAAATATTATTATTATCAATTATTTTTTGTTCATTATTATTATTTTCAGATAAAAAAAATCATCCAAAAATTATATTTAAGCGATTAAAAACAACATAACAAAATCAAGTCTTTATCCTATTAAATGTGGTCGATTACAAGAATACTTTTTCTTGATTGTGTCATATAAATTCTCATTTTAATATAGAAAAGTCATTTTTAATATTTTCTAATCAAATCGTTTTAGATCTACCTCTTTCTAATCAAATCTTTTTAGATCTACCTCTACATTTTTTTAACATAAGTCAAATCTAATACATCTACTTCCCTAACCGTGTCATTGGAGGAAGAGATTATTTTGTGTGATGTCTGAACATGTCTGGAGATCAATCCGGATGCATCACGTTATCTAATGCTCTGTGTATTGAGTGACCTGACCCATTCGGATTGGAACGCCTCTGGACACCGCACGTAATAATTTTTCCATTGGAAGACATTCGTTATATGTGACCAAAATCATCTAAGTCGACTCTCTCTCTCTCTTTAATCTTATCTTCCACTCGAGCTACTCCAAACTTTTCAATTTAAGCTACGTAAAAAAATCAAATAAAATCATATATATCAACAAATTTTTTTTTTTAAAAAAAATATCAACATAAATTATTTATCATAATTATTGAACAACTTACTAGTTGATAAATGATAGATCCAACAGTAATAGTCCAAAACCGGCCGGCGAAGGAGTCCGCCACCACGGCGCCGATTATAGGGGTGAGGCTCGCCGTGCCGCCGAAGTTAGTGAGAGTATTAGTAGCCTGAATGAGAGGAAGATGAAGCTCGTTTTGAAGATACTGAATCATATTTGCATTGAATCCTGCCGTCGCAAATCTATCACAAATCTCATTTGCTGCAATCCATAAGATCAAAAACTAAGCAAGTTTATATAGGCTTAAGGATTTGATAGAATTAAGAAGAAAATGAAAAGGCTGACCAAGTATAAACGGCATGGTTCTGAAACCTCCCAGCTGCCGCTCCTCCTTCTTCTTCTTCTTCTCTTCCTGTCTTTCATATCCAGCCAAGCTTTTTCGTTCTTCCATGGAGGAGAAGAAGAAGAAGAGGAGATCTACAGTATCAGAAAATAATTGGGAGGAGACTGAAGAGTTAAGAGGTATGCTGCTCTTATTTATGGTGGCATGTGAGGGCTGGAAGAAAGGCCAATTAAAGCTTACATGGTGTACTCGAGCTCAAATTATTTTATTGATATTATAATCTGAAATTTGCGTATATAATATGTGGATCTGATTATCCTAATTAGTATGTATTTGCTTTAAAACTTTTTAAATTTACTTTGTGATTGCATAATAATTATTTTATTATTTATATATTATTGTCATCTTAAAATAAATTTAAGGGATTTAAAGCTCATAATGATTAAAATTTTGATAAAAAT